AAAAACAAAGAATAACATAAGAATAAAAGGAAGAAACAAAGAATAACATAATGAAAGACAAAAAGAGAATGTGATACATGATTAAAACAAAGAATAACATAAGAGAATGTGAGTGAAGGAAAAGAACAAAGATTAACATAAGAATAGAAGGAAGAAACAAAGAATAACAAAAGAGAAAGTGATAGAATTATAAAAAATTAAGAATAACATAAGAGAAGGTGATAGAAGGGAAAAAACAAAGAATAACATAAGAATAGAAGGAAGAAACAAAGAATAACATAAGGAAAGACAGAAAGAGAAAGTGATAGAATGCTTAAAACAAAGAATTACATTAAAAAAGCTGATAGAAGGAAAAAAAAACAAAGATTAACATAAGAATAGAAGGAAGAAACAAAGAATAACAAAAGAGAACGTGATAGAATTATAAACACAAAGAATAACATAAGAATAAAAGGAAGAAACAAAGAATAACATAATGAAAGACAAAAAGAGAATGTGATACATGGAAGAAACAAAGAATAACATAAGGAAAGACAGAAAGAGAAAGTGATAGAATGATTAAAACAAAGAATAACATAAGAGAATGTGAGTGAAGGGAAAAAACAAAGATTAACATAAGAATAGAAGGAAGAAACAAAGAATAACAAAAGAGAAAGTGATAGAATTATAAAAACAAAGAATAACATAATAATAAAAGGAAGAAACAAAGAATAACATAATGAAAGACAAAAAGAGAATGTGATACATGATTAAAACAAAGAATAACATAAGAGAATGTGAGTGAAGGAAAAGAACAAAGATTAACATAAGAATAGAAGGAAGAAACAAAGAATAACAAAAGAGAAAGTGATAGAATTATAAAAAATTAAGAATAACATAAGAGAAGGTGATAGAAGGGAAAAAACAAAGAATAACATAAGAATAGAAGGAAGAAACAAAGAATAACATAAGGAAAGACAGAAAGAGAAAAAGATAGAAGGAAAACAAGGTATAACATAACGGAACAGGCCACGATAAAGAGCATGGTATAGTAAACGCAAATTGCATGAAAAGCAGGCGCGCGGTTTTTGCCCAAACCGGAACAGGCTCCGTCATACAATCATGATTGAGAACTCCGTCCGTTCAATCGAATTTTAGCGACCGTGATTCTGCAGAATCATGATACAAAACGCATCTTTTTCAGCGTTTCATGTTTGTGTTTTCAAACATGTTTATTTTTACGACCGACGAAAAAATCGCTTGAACGCATTGCGTTTTAAACTAAACGTCTTTAGAAACCGTGATTCTAGGGTGAAAAAGTGTCGATTAAACGCACCCTAGATCAGCCTCTGTTGTAAGATTCATGAATAGCACAGTTGACCTGTCTTTTACCTCTAGCAGTAGACTTCTGGTTATCCTATTTATACCACATGATAGAATAAGCATGTAGATCTATGGAATTTAGATAACCCATACAGAGGCATCTATCAAATGTATAATTTCCTTGTTTTTCACAGCTCATACTTTTATTTGTATGCAATATTGTGAAGTCTGTGATAATCCTAAAGCGTTCATATCATCACACATGTACACTGGTGCTGTATCAAATGATCCCCATACACATTCCCCTATCATGGTCCATTAGGTTTGTATAATGTGAGGCAATCATAATGGTATTTGCTGCTGCATGGCTTGGTGTCATTATGTGTCTATTATCCTCCATACAGATATAGTACCGGTATATCACCATTGGATGTGTACTTAAAGAGAAGGTTGAGTTCTGGGAAGAGGTAAAAAATAATTTGTGAGCGTTATCATTCTTATTATGCAAGTGTGGAAGAACATCAGATAAGACATATTCCCTGAAAAGCATGGCTCTTCAAATGCCTTCATATTCTAAATATGTCATGTAACATCGTAAAAATCCAGGGTAGGATTTTTACGCCACGTGTTCGTGTAGTCCCATATACATTTTTCTGTGTACAGTGCTTGTAACTTTACCAAGACTGGGCCAAATTTCTTATCATTTTGATGATTCCAGAACCTTGCAGTACACACCAATACTTATATGCTAGATGATCAACCTTTTCTGATCAATTCCACACTGTTTCTTTTACAATGGAATCGCATGGCCATAACTGGCCTTTATCTTTAAAGCAGAAGTAACAAAGGAGTAGAATAACACTTTGTATACATGGATAATTCACCCAAAATACTGTTTTCTTGTTTACTTGGGTATCAATTATGTCTTTTTGTATTTGTAATACTTTTATGTTAGCCTTATGTTTAGGTTTGTCCAGACAGAAAACCTTAATGGTTCTTCTCTCTGTGTTGATGTTTGCCAAGTTAAAATTATGAAATTGTGATCTCCCATGGATTTCATTGGATAATACAAGTGACATTATGCATGATTCTTGACTTGAACCGTGCCTTGCCTCTATGTTTGACTCCTAGTGAGCTATACCTGAATTCCAACTAATATGATGAGATGGTCTATGGGGGAAATGAGATTAATACATAAGAAGTTTCCTCAGAAATTTGTTTTCGATGAAGCTTGACTATTCAGAATCTCCCGAGTCCCAAGTGTGTTAAGCCAGGAAGAAATAAATGGCTTCAAGCATGGACGTACATGGGAGGGATTTATTGATATGGGTCATTTGTGTTTCCTCTCCTATTAAAGTTCACTACCAGGTCATCCAAGGTTCAGAATTGTCTCCATCCCTGATTGCTTCAGTTCTTTTAATATTTCTCATTTTGTTTGCCCCCTCACTCACTTCATATTATCTGTTGGAAGCCAGAAGGGCATAAATCTCTGGATTGAAGGATAGGAGTTGAGCCACTTTTGGTTCTCTGCAGATGATATCATCTCTACTTGAAGATCTTCTGTCAGCTGTGTTTCTTTACTTTGTAAATTCTAGATATTCTTTTCAAAAGGGCTTTGAATTAAAACTATAGAAAGGAATTTGAAACAGTTGCTAATATAGTATTTACCACGATCTTGTTATTTCCTCATTTTAATTACTGTCGCTAGTTTTTATTGAAAAACAAAGCACTTTAATGCACCCATCTGTTGACCAGACCATAATCCTGACGCCTCCTTCTTGTCAACCTTGACATAGACGGGTCAAATCTAAGTCCTTAGGTCAAATGATATTTCATGCTTCTTTTGGAAAGGATCCTTTGGAATGTTGACCTTGTTCTCACCAGAGTTCAAAGTTAAGCTGACCACTGAGCATGAAAATAATTTGACTGTAGATTAGTTTATGTCCTTATACATGTAGCTGTTAACAGGCAAAATCATGATGGATTCAATTTTGATATTTCAATCAGCTTTCCCTCGATCTCCTCTAACCCTTAACCTCCTTTGCAAGTAGCGAGAATTCTTTGTTGTCAATGAAAGATAACCTGTATCTTAAACATGTTGGGTTAATATGATTTGCAAAGGAATTGCCAAGGACATCTACTAGCGTTGAAAAGGTATCAAAGTCACTTTTTATCAAATGTTCAAAATGTTGTTAAGCCAAACATTTCATGAAAGGGCTAGGATAGCATCATAACCAAAAAAAATGTAATACCATGAGAAATATTATCTCAAGAGACTTTGAAATTTGTAGCTTATGACTTAAATGAATGCTTCTTATATGCACAGTGCTCATTCAACAGATGGATACTAGAGAACTATTGTATAACAATACAGGTGCGAGTCTCATTTTTAACTTGCTGAATGAAATTAAATAATCATTTTATTTGTTACTCTCCAATAAGCTTACATAATGTACAATGTAGTCTTCAACGAAGAATAACACAGGAATTGTAGACAATTTCCACTGTGCTGAAAAGCTCATTTTAGCATGTGATAATGCGTATACACATGCCAAACATTGAATTGCCCTAATGGACTTCTACGTCAATATTTGTCAGGATCCAGTCAGGATATAATGCCAAGATTACTAGGGTGTGCAGGTGGACCATTACACCGGGGTTTCCCCCTACTCTTATATGAATAGTGCAGTGGGTTCTTAACGTGCAACTGTGTTGACTCTCCTGTACACGGTGCCTCCATTTAACGTCCTATCCGAGGGACGGAGTGTTTACCACTTAACATAGCCTGCGTCAATGAAACATGGGGATGGACACGTTAACACACAACGCAGGCTTCAGTCATGTAACAGATCATTAGAACTCAATTCATATGATAATGTATACAGTAGGCTTGCGGGTGCACCATGTGAGAGAGAGAGAGAGAGAGAGATAATGTATTGTATAGGTTGATATCTACTCCAGATAGCATTCATGGACAGCCAGTCAACCTTCCTGCTGTGATTAGCCTGGTCATGGTTTATTAAAAGAGATTTATCTCTTGTTTATCACAGTCCCAGACTCAAGAATGTTATCATGTGGACATGAAGCTACCTCGTTGGGTTGAAACTTGAGAGCCAGAAGGACGATGTAATGAAATAATTTTACACAAGAGTTCTGCCTCTCAGCAGACAATGTCATGTTCCAGGATGAGGAATGGAAAATCATGCATGGTCTCGATGTGTTACAGTCTCCTTTGATTACATACCACTGTTGTATGCTGTGAGTTGTCTCAGAGTTTGCAAACCAGTCAAATATAGGATTTGTTGTGTGAAGAATGATGCAAATGGTCAGTTAGACACTGGACTGTTATTTCATTTTTTTTTTATCAAGGTGTTCTTTGTCGCAGTGCCCCTCCCCCTTTTCTATTTTGAGTTTGTAAGACAGTTTAAGATGTTAGAGCCAGGACCAGAAGATGTTATTTTGAAGAAATAAATGTCCACCATCAGAGCTGATGTACACCTGTGTATGAAAGTAATATATGACAAGAAGATTTTCTTTGATTAGGAGCACAGTGTTATGAATGCAATGACTATATGAAAAAGAATGGAGTAACCAAGCTATAGTAAAGTTGTATGCCTTCTAGTATACATGTATATTGGAAATATGTATTTGTAGTAAAACTAGTCATAACAAAGTGATCCATTCTTCTTTTTGTCCAGGAGTCACCACAGCCCTATGATGAGAGGAACATGCCATCCATTGAAGATGTTCTTACAGAGCTATACTATCCGTTTGAAGACATAGCACCATACATGACAGCACAGGTCTGTGACATCATCAATCGAAGGTTCAAAGGTGATGGGTCAAGGTTTATGTTGGACTTCCTCCTACCATGCAGAGAGCTCTTGTTACATCTCAAGGAAGAAAGCTGGGTAAGTTTCCTATTATCATTTTTTGGACCAGATTTTGATTTTATGTTTAAAAAAAAAGTAAATGAAGACCAGTGGTTCTTGAACTGATTTGTCAAATGGGTCGGTAGAAATATTGTCTGTTTAGAGCCAGAAGGGTGTTAACGATGAGTTAGAGTGTATGAGTTAACACCCTTCTGTTTAGAGCCAGAAGGGTGTTAACGATGAGTTAGAGTGTATGAGTTAACACCCTTCTGTTTAGAGCCAGAAGGGTGTTAACGATGAGTTAGAGTGTATGAGTTAACACCCTTCTGTTTAGAGCCAGAAGGGTGTTAACGATGAGTTAGAGTGTATGAGTTAACACCCTTCTCTTTAGAGCCAGAAGGGTGTTAACGATGAGTTAGAGTGTATGAGTTAACACCCTTCTCTTTAGAGCCAGAAGGGTGTTAACGATGAGTTAGAGTGTATGAGTTTAACACCCTTTTGGTTCTCAGCAGTTGGTATGACCCACTGAGCATCACTCAATGAGTCTACCAAGGTTTGGTAAGATATTTTGGAGAGACTGGATTTGGCTGGTGAGCTGCCAATGCAGATCCACTTATCAAAACCAATATTCAGTGTTCACATTGCAAATCAAGGGTGTCATGCCGGAGTGGAATATAGTGCTGTAGGTCACCACTGTGATTGTACTGGAGGCTCTGTATTCCTGTTAGAGAGTCTTCAAGCCATCTGATAGCATCAGGTCTATATTGGAAGCAGTGCTGAGACAGTAGCTTAGCTAGGCTTCATGGTTCCTCATGTAGGTGTTGGAAGATTCTGGTAAAGGGGTTTAGGTTTAGGGAGTAAAGGTCTGATTTGGTATTGCTTTTCTTTATTGTTTATTGATCAACAGAGACTTTAATGGAATAAATAACTGATCTTCTTTCACAATGAACACAGTAATATGGTATCATGTGTAAGCCAATAATTGGTGGCCATACTTGCCACAGTACCTCTTGTCATCACCAATTTATTCATGAGTATGACTTCCTATATTAGGGCACTCAATCGCACTTTTGAAGGACTGTGTTAATCTTGGCAAAGCTCTACTTAGTCCTTGGGTGGTGGATTAACTAATGTGAAATACCAAATCCCATGGCATCATAGTAAGGATAGATGCTGACATTATTCTACTTGATTGCAGTTCTAGCAAGGTCTTGAGAAATGAATGATATTCCTATCATCTCACTGAGGTTAATATGGTGGCCCTGAAGGGACATCGCGAATAGACTAAATCGTGAAAAATATGCGATAAAATTCACGATATCGTCAATTTTATCGCATATTTTTCACGAAGAAATTCACGAAATTGACGATATCGTGAACTTTATCGTGAACTTTTCACGATGAAATTGACGATATCGTGGATTTTATCGTGAAAAGTTCACGATATAAAGTTCACGATATCGTCAATTTTATTGTGTACTCTATCGTGTACTCTATCGTGTACTCTCCTGACGGGCGCTTCGTAAACAAAACCAGCCCTAGCTGGGGGAGACAGAGAGAAGGAAAAAAGGGAAAGGGAAAGAGAAGATAAAAGGAAAGAAAGTATAAGAAGAAGAAAAGAGGGAAACGGGGGGGGGGGGGGGGGGGGGGGGGCGAAGGGCTCTTGCCTCCTCCTCACTCCCCCCCCCTCCCCGCCAAAAAATAAATCAGAGAGAGAGAGAGAAGGGAAAGGGAAAGGGAAAGAGAAGATACAAGGAAAGAAAGAAGAGGAAGAAGAAGAAAAGAGGAAAACGGGGGAAGGGCGAAGGACTCTTGCCCCCCCCCCCCCCCGCCAAAAAATAAATTAGAGAGAGAGAGAGAGAGAGAAGGGAAAGGGAAAGGGAAAGAGAAGATAAAAGGAAAGAAAGAAGAGGAAGAAGAAGAAAAGAGGGGAAACGGGGGCAAAGGGCTTTTGCCTCGTCCCCCGCCCCCCGCCAAAAAATAAATAAGAGAGAGAGAGAGAGAAGGAAAGGGAAAGAGAAGAAAGAAAGAGAAAAACGAAAAAGAGGGAGAATAGGAAAGAAAGGAAAAGAAAGAAAAGAAAGGAGGCAAGAGCCCTTCGCCCCTGTTTCCCTCTTTTCTTATTCTTTTTCCTCTTCTTTCTTTCCTTTTATATTTTCTTTCCCTCTCCCTTCTCTTTCCCTTTATGGCGGGAGGGGGAGGGGGAGGTAAGAGCCTTTTGCCCTTCCCCCGTTTCCCTCTTTCCGTCTTCTTCTTCTTTCTTTCCTTTTATATTTTCTTTCCCTTTCCCTTTCCCTTCTCTCTATCTCTCTCACTCTCTCTCCTATTTATTTGTTGGCGCGGGAGGGGGGGAGGAGGCAAGAGCCCCTCTTTTCTTCTTATTCTTCTTCCTTTCCTTTTTTATTCTCTTTCCCTTTCCCTTCTCTCTCTCTCTCTCTTATTTATTTTTTGGGCGAGGTGATGCAAGAGCCCTTCGCCCCCGTTTCCCTCTTTTCTTCTTCTTCTTCCTCTTCTTTCTTTCCTTTTATCTTCTCTTTCC